AGGGATGCAGCCGGGACGGGGCAGCCATCAGCCCAGGCGGGTCTGCCGCGGCCGGGTGGGCTGGAAGCTTTGGGAGACAATATTTTTTTTAAAAAGACCACAAAAAAAGGTATAAGCCGTGGAGACTGCAAACACACCCATTTCTGCAAACTTTCAGAATATCGTTACGCATTTCTTTCAAACCAGGACGGGGGTTTGTTGATACTTTAGCTGTCGTTTTCCCGCGATCTGGCAGAGGAGTGCCTCACCCTTGCTTGGTTTGGGGCTCGGGTGGTTTTAGGATGTTTCCTGGTTAAAACAAGAAGAGACGAGGCATTTGGACAAAAATACGGGTCCGTGTTGAGCTTTGCCCCCGCTGCGTGTGCAGAGCCCCCTCCCCTGCCTCCTCCCCTCCCTCGCCCCAGGGGTGGAGGGTTGGCACCTGGAGGACGAGCCCATCCCCTGCCGGTGCTTTGCTGGGCTGCATTGACATCCCAGCTCTCTGGTGAGGCACAGGCTGGAGACACCAACACCGTGGGATCTGGGGGGAGAAAGCAGAGGGTTTTGGTGTAGGAGCCTCTTTGGGGTGAAGGGAGGCTGACTGTGTCGCTGTGGGACAGTGCTGTGCAGCTCGAGGGCAGCAGGACCATTGCAGCTTGGTTTTCTGATGGATTTGGGATGGCTGGGTGGGTTCTCCGGTGTCTAATAAGGGTTGTGCTCACCTGGCAGCCTTTCTTGTGTGCAGACAAAGTGTCTGTCCTCTGCTCTGTCTCTGCAAGAGACGGGATCAAGGTATTTTTGAGTCCCGTGCCCCTCTGCCACGGTTGGATGAACTGGGTTGAAAAATTACTGGGGAAGGAGGGGAAAAGCAGAGGGTGAGCAGGACAGATGGACATGTCTGTGCATGCAGGCTCACGAGGACAGCTCGGCTGCATATTCCTCATTCCTTTCCCAAAGCGGGCTCCCCACCTGGAAACGCCACCGGCTCCTGTGCACTGAGTCACCGGTCACGTCTGCGAAGGGCCGTCACCCCCCACAGCCGGTGGGGGAGCGTCGGGGCGGGGGAGCGTCGGGTCCCCGAGGCTTGAATTCAGAGGCGGCAAATGCCAGCCGTCGGTGCTGACCAGGACAGGGCTCAACTTTCTTAAAATGTCCTTTGATTTGAGAGATTTGGGGTTTTTCACCATGCTGGGGTTGTACGCGGGTGGGCTGCTGCTTTGCTCATGGTTCTCCCATGAGACTCGGACCCTGGCTCTGGGTACCCTGCTTCGGGTTGGTGGCTTTGGCACCGGGCTGCGGCCGGTCCTGCCGTGCCGGGGTGCCGTGTCGGGGTGCCCTCCAGAATGCCAGCAGCTTTGAGGACTCTTTTCTTCAGCTCAGCATCCTCCGCTCGCCCTCACCCACCCTAGACCTTCTCCGCAGAGGAGGCAGGAGCCGGGCTTGCCCCAGGCAGGGGGCCAGGGCTGGTACTTCCTGAGGGCTTTCGGGGCTGCCAGATGCCAGCTGAGACGTGGATTTGGCAGGGCAGAGAGCTAACACAAGCCGTTCTGTCTGTTCTCCGTGGTATTTGTGAGTGAGCCCTTCCTGCGCAGGCACGGACACGGGGACTTCATCTGCTCACAGCTTAAAATCTCAGGGGACTTTCAATGTTGCCAAAGAGACGGGGCCGCCTCGTTTTTATTTTGAATTGAATGATAATAAGGCAACGTCGCTTGCAGGGAGTCCCAAGGGCTTGGAGACCTGACGGCAAATAAAATGAACCTCTGGATACGCAGTGTTGGGATTTCTACTTGTTTTCATGTCACGCTTTTGTATTTTATTTTTTTTTAAAGCCAATCTCCTGTTTCCTGAAAGGGCTGTATTTAAGATGCATTTGTGTGTTTGGGGCTGGAGTGGGTATTGCTGATTTGGCCTCAGCTTTCATGCTTGCTGGATGAAATGGGGGAGATGGATCCCACTGAAAACTCACTGATGGTGAAGAAAACATGGAAACTCTCTTCCCTACCTCATCCCAAATTACTGAGGATTTCTCCACACCTTGGGATGTGTTAATAGGTTTTGCTCCCAGCGTGGAGGATGAATTCATGCTGATGGGGGCCCTCCAGGTCTCCACCTTCACCCCAGCCCATCGTGGTGCGTGAAGGTGGGTCCTTGCCTCCTGCGGGACAGGGAGCGCCCTGAAACTTTCCCTGCTGCTCCTGTTTGCTTTGCTTCATGCCGCGACACGCCGGGGCGTCCTGCCTGTACTGCCCATTGAGCGGGCAGCGTTTTGCCTGCAGGGGGAAGGACCCACCGGCCGGCGCAGGTGGTGTCGCAGTGTTTGCAGAGACGGTCCTGCCTCTGTCTCCGCTCACGTCTCCTGCCCAGAGCCGTGTCTCTCCAGCCCTCTCGGCTGCCACCGGCCGTGGGATCTGCAGCATGATGGGGGGATTGATGGGGGTGATGGGGGGATTGATGGGGAAGGCTGGCGCTGAATGAGGTCTTGCTGTCAAGACGTCTGCTTTGGGCTTCGAGAAGGGTCAAAAGAGCAGCGTGACTTCTGCTCCATGTACAGCTTTTTGGAGATGGGAGGATTTATAGGCCTGTCTGTACCCCAGGGGTATTCCACACCTGCAGGTCTGCAGAGAAGCAGCAGATCGTTATCCCCTTTCATGTCCCCTTAGGAGAGAGCCAGGCATCCCTTCTGCCCTGGGACTGGAGGCTGAGGATGGGACAACCTCAAATCCTCTCCTGTTTTTGGGTTTTGCTTTTCCTCCCTTGTTTTCCACTGTGTGTTTCTTGGGGCTGTGTGCTGTCGGGATGCCTTGGGGTCACGAGTGATGCTGCCAGGGCTGGGGCTGGGCGCGGCGTTGCTGGCAGAGACGGGGTGACTGTGCTGCATCGCCTGCACCCCACAAGTGGGGGGAACCTGGGGGAGGTGGACTCGCACCCTGAGCCATACGATCAGCTCCACTGGCTGCCCTGGCTGAAAATCCTGCGTCACAAGGGTCCTTTTCTCCTGCTGGGCTCCCTGGCAGGGCATGCCAGGCGCAGACTCCTCCGGCCAGCCTGCCACGCATTCTCCAGCCCGGGGGAATAGCTGGGATTCTTGCATTTCCTCCCCCAAAATGACGCTGGCTGGACCGCGATCTGCAGTGAGCATCAGCAGCTGGCTCCAGGGAGAGGACGGGGTCCCTGGACACAGCAAGAAGACCCCCAAGCCCACGAGAGGCTCCGTTTTGGTCCCAAGGTGCCAGCATGTCCCTGGCAGATTTGCTTTTTGCAGAAGTACCTGGGTGCTGGGGCAGCTCTGCAAGCCCTGGGTTAGGGAGGGAGTCTCCGACATTCCCAGCAGTGCCCACTCGCCCGTGTAGTTATTTTCTTAAAGCCCCAGCTCCTGGAGTCAGGCCATCCCTGGAGGAGCTCGGCTTTTGCCAAAGACCTCGCTGTTGTGGGCAATTCGGGAAGAAGTTTGCAAGGGCGCACAGTGCAGAGAAACCCCAAAGGCGGGCAGGCAAATAAAACCCGCTCGTGCTTATTTTATTTTATTTTATTTTTCAGAAAGAGGTTTGGGGGAGAGGATTGATGCATTTGTGCTGTGATTTGCAGGTAGAGCTACTGCATTTCCTCAGAGCTTGGGCTGAGCCCTGGCACGTTGCACATTGCAGGGCTACCCAGCTCCCTAAGGGATGGCTTCCCAGCTCCCTAAGGGATGGTACAAGCCCTCGAGCGAAGGGGGCTCCCAGGGAGCAGTGTCCTTGCAGGGACCTGCTCTGGCCCCCAACCTTTGGAGGTGACAAGACCCGCCTGTTCCCTGCAGCGGGATCAAGGGATGAGCCTGGGTTCAAGTGTAGGGATTTACACCCAAACATGAGCGACCGCTGGCATTTTTACCAGGAGATGAGATGAAATGAAATGATGAGAGCGAGTGGAGATGCTTGCGTGGGGGTGTTTCCTTGGGAGCGCTGCCCCGGGGGTTGCTGGTGGGAGGAGCTGGTGGAGGGGGAGCCGGGGGGCAGAGCGTGGGGGTCCGGGACTCCTTGGGGCTGCTCGGCTCTCAAACTCCTTGCTCCATGTCTTGGTGGAAAGCGCAGAGCAAGCTGTGGCAGTGGTGTCTCTCTTGCTACCCTCTACCTCTCGCAGCTCTCCAGCCTCTTCCTCCGACTCTCTCCGCTGGGACATTTCCAGATTGCACAGAAACCCTGCGGGACAGCTGAGCTGAGGAGTCTGAGAGTCTGACCACCATCAGGACCGGCTCTCTCTGAGGGGTCTCTGCCCCGATCTGATCTGTACAGCTTTGGGAAGCTCTCGCCTCGGGGTTTGGCTTTTCAGCTCCCGGTGCTGCTGTGCCCCAGGGTGGGTGTGTGGAGGGCAGGAGGGTTGTGGAGGGACCGGTCTGAGCATCACCCTCCTGATGTGTTCAGAGGTCCTCACACCGGACCAGCACTGTGTTCAGCCTCTCTCCATCCCTCTGGGCACCCCACCCAGAGAGGAGGGAGCTGTGCTTGGGGTCACCCATGCTGGGCCTCCCCTGCTCGGGTGGGCTCCTCGCCATGGCGTGTTTGGGCTTGCAACAGCATGCAGTGGCATCTCAGCAAAGTGTCTGAGCCCGTAAAATGGGTGCAAAAATGCCCCAGAGCTGGGGGCCTCGGTGGAAAATCCACCCCTGGAGCGGCTGGAGAAGAAGGAGCAGGGCTCCCGGCGGAGGAGGAGGTGCTGAAGGGTTAACGGGGAGTGTTTGCAGCCGGTCCCTTGTCACCAAGGAGAAGGGAACAGCACTTGGGAAGGAAACAAAACACCCACTGCCCAGGAGGGTGATTTCCTTTCCCCAAGCTGCATTACAGCCCTCGGACCCCAGAAAGGCTCCAGACACTGGGAGGACGGCGTCACCATCCCGGGTGGCAGAGAGCAAGCGGCACCGGGTGAGTGTGGCTGCTGGGGACACAGCCCAGGGCAGGTCCCCATGTCCCCATCACCCATGTCCCCATCACCTGTGTCCCCGTCACCCCTTTCCCTTGGTCTCCTCCCAGTCTTATGGCAAAATGTGGGGGACGCCGGGCGCCGCGGTGCGGAGCATCCGTCCCTACCAGTCCAGCGAGCAGTACCTCTACGCCATGAAGGAGGACTTGGCTGAATGGTTGAAGGAGCTGTACGACCTGGACATTGAGGTGGGCACCTTCATGGAGGTGCTGGAGACGGGGGCTGTGCTCTGTTCCCATGCCAACAACATCACCCACGTGGCCAGGGAGTTTGCCCGTGCCTGCCCTGGCGTGGCCCGCCACCTCCGCCTGCCTGCCACCGGCGTCGCCTGCAACCTCGCAGCACAGCCGGGCACCTTCCAGGCCAGGGACAACGTCTCCAACTTCATCCAGTGGTGCAGGAAGGAGATGGATATTAAAGGTAAGATGCCAGGCTCCAGCTGCCCTGTGTCCCCATGTGCAATTTCCCTCCAGCTGCTCCTGGCATCACCCCAGGTCCCCGAAAGCCAGTGCCACCCCAGCATCGGGCAGCACCATGCGCATGTGTCCCTGAGCTGGGGTTTCTTGCACAAGCTCCTCCGGGCTTGGCAGCAGCTTTACAGGGTGCTGGCACGCAGCGGGTGTGTTTGCTTGGGTGCAAATATGTGCTGGGTGGGTGGAAATGGAAAAGGGCGTACGCTGCAGTGTGGCCCTGCCATGCACGGCATGATCCTGGCCGTAAGGACATCAGGAGCGGTCCTGGCTCTGAGCAAAGGGTCTGTCACCCTGTCCCCACCACCAGCAGGTGCCCAGGAAGGGCACGGAGTGACACGTCCTCAGCACGTCCAACCACCGGGGTTTGTGATTTGGGATGCCATGAAACAGCCGTTGCGCCTTTGCTTGTAGACGCTCAAGGGGAAGGCTCTTCCTCTGTGAATTTATCCCAGTCCTTGTTGGACCCAGCCATATTCCTAGCAGGATGGCTCCAGGGAATAACATCCCTTTGGGCAGGTTTTGACTCCGCCTGTGCCCCCCCCCGTCCCCTTCGTCCCTGTCCCCACGCACCCGCTCTGGCTCAGTCCACCCTTGCCCTGCCCCAGACGTCCTGATGTTCGAGACGGAGGACCTGGTGCTGAGGAAGAACGAGAAGAACTTTGTGCTGTGCCTGCTGGAGCTGGCGCGCCGCGCCGCCCACTTCGGCATGCGCGCCCCGACCCTTGTGCAGATGGAGGAGGAGATCGAGGAGGAGCTCCGCCAGGAGCTGGACCTGCCACCCGCAGACACCCCCCTGCCCCGGCCCCCCAGGAAACCACGGGACCTCCACAACCTCGACCAGATGGTATGGAGGGGCATGGAGCGGGATGGGGAAGGGGATGGGGATAGGGATGGTCACCCCAGGACCCTTTTCAGGAGCCCTGGTGAGGACCCATCCCTGCTGCCCGCAGGTCCAGCACCTGGTGAGCCGCTGTACCTGCCCCGTGCAGTTCCCCATGATCAAGATATCCGAAGGGAAATACCGCGTGGGTGACTCCGACACCCTCATCTTTGTCCGGGTGAGTCTGCTTCGCCCTGTGCTTTTGGGGCACAGGCACCAGGAATCCTGCTCTGCTCCCACGAAGCCTCTTCCATAATCCATCGCCCAAATGGGGCCAATGTGGGGTTTTTGACTGTTATCCCCGAAGCAGGGCAGCAGGAAAGCTTGGCCCTGGGGTACGTGTTGGCATGGATGTAACTATCCATGTGTACGGGACAAAACCTGCCGTCCCACGCCAAGCCAGAGCCAGGTCTTACCCAGCCATGGGAACACTGGGATGCTCTGTCCCTGCCTGGATCCATCCCTCAGCCTGGCCTTCCCAAAGGGCTCGGCACATGATGGTGGAGAGGGGTTTTTCCAAAAGGCTCCCCACTCTCCTTGGGGTGATGAAACGTGCCTGTCGGGATGGCAGCAGGAGCTGAGACTCTCCCTGCCTCAGTGGCACTGAGCTGGGGATGAAGGTGTCCTTTGGGAGACCTGGTGGCACTTAGGGCAAGCCCACAGCTCTCGAGCACGGGAGGACGAAGCCTGGCTGAGTATGCCACCCCCAGGCTGCCTAAAAAGAGGAGGGGGGGGGGGGGTGGGGGCCCCCGGGGGACCCGGCATAATCCCCCCCCCCAGGAGCACAAAAAAGAAGGGGGGGGGGGGGGCTGGTGTCCCCATAACACGCACCTCTCCAGGCCTCACTGCACAAGGCATCCCATGCAGATCGCAGATCACCCCCGGGTGCATAACACGCACCTCTCCAGGCCTCACTGCACAAGGCATCCCATGCAGATCCTGCGGGAGCACATCATGGTGCGGGTCGGGGGTGGCTGGGACACGCTGGAGCACTACCTGGACAAGCACGACCCATGCCGCTGCACCTCGCTCTGTGAGTCCCGCGTCCCCAAACCCCGTGGCTCTGCCCTGTGGCTGGGGTGAGGGGGGTGTGTGTGTGTCCATCGTGGGTCTCGCTGCTTCTGGGGCCGTTTGCAGGAGCGGGAGGCTTCGTTACCACGATGCCTCTGTTGCTTTGCTGGGGAATGTCTGGTCTTGGGGACTCTCCTCGGCTTTGGTGGCCACTAGAGGTCACGGCAGACTTTTGGATGGAGCCGGACCCCAAAAATATCCTTTGCGGAGAGCACAGGTTTGCACCAGCATCCCCAGGGGGCTGGATGCTGAGCGACGGCTGGGTGGGCTGCAGCCGGGGGTGGGTGCAATGGACGGGGGTGCTGAGCCCGTCCCCATTTTCCCCGCAGCTCACAAACAAGCCTGGAAAACCAGGAGCCCCCAGCAGCAAGTGCAGCATGAGATCTGGCTGTGCCCGGCCTCGAAGGCAGCCACCCGTGGCCAGCCCCAGCCCCTGCTGCTGGTCAGCCGCTCGCAGAGCCCCCTGCCCCCCGTCGCCTGGGGGTCCCGTGCCCCCCCCGGCTCCCGGCCCCCTGCCAGCCCC